TAACCTAAGGGTTCAGGTTTTGACCTAATAGGTTACTCAGATAGTGATTTTGCAGGTTGCAAAATTGATAGGAAAAGCACCAGTAGAGGCTGTCAGCTTCTAGGTGGAAAGTTGATGAGCTAGACGAGTAAAAAGCAAAACTCTGTGTCCACATAAACTGCTGAAGCTGAATACGTTGCTGCTAGAAGTTGCTGTACCCAAGTCCTTTGGACGAAAAACCAGCTCAACGATTACAATCTTCAATTTTCAAAGATTCCTATCTATTGTGATAACACTAGTGCTATTGCGATTGCAAACAACCCTGTTCTTCACTCCAAGACCAAACATATTGAGATTCGATATCATTTTATCAGAGATCATATTATGAATGGTAATATTGAACTTCACTTTATTCCCACTGATTACCAACTCGCTTACTTTTTCACAAAGCCTCTTGATGAGACAAGATTTAACATCTTGATCAACAAACTTGGAATGCTAAATGCTGAGGATTAACTTTCTTCAGCTATACACATTACTCAGTAAGTGAAATGATTTAGTGTTCTTATTCTATCACTGAACTCTTGAGTAAATATATCTCTTCTCTCTAAGATATGTATACTCATTTCTTCTTCTTTAAAACTTAAAATTATCACTGAAGTTTTTCTTCTTCATTGATCAATTTTTTTAAGTTTTTCAATTTCTTTTACATTTTTTTTACTTTGATTTTGAGAAATTAGTTTTGTTTCTTTAATCGGGATCTAATATTTTGGGAATTTTTTACAGGTACATATGGCTGACCAACAACATCAGTCTGACAAGGAATCTCATATTCCTTTGGTCAGATCTGATAATATCAATAACCCAATTCAACCCACAAATAATCCCATACCCGAAGAAATCCTACTCCCACAAAGCCAGTTTCTAGAAATAAAACCAAATAATCATTCTTTTAACTTCGACATGCCCGCCGAATACCAGATTATACCAAAAATCCTTCGCGGACATCCAATTTCATATTCCCTTTCTGCCCATTCACCAGTCCCAATGATTTACCTTCAGCAGTTCTGGAACACGTTAATACTTGCTAAAAACGATGACACATACTACTTCGAAGTGATCAAATGTTTTAAAAGATCTTTTCATTCAGTGATTTTTCTTATCACTATACATCTTCAAAAAACTTTTCATATTCTTAAGAGTGTGGCTTTTGAATTTCTTAAAACCTTTTTGTTTTAAAAGAAATAGAAAATGAAATGATTTATGACCACATCTTTTATTTTAAAGATACGATTTTTTTAGACGCACGTACCGTTCTGACACACGCGACCCCTCAAAATTCCATCTAATCATGGATGAGAACGAGCTACTTTTTCATCATAGCACAACTTTAAAAGTCGTATTTTCCTCTCTCCTCATTCTATTTCTCTCTCCTTCTACCTATAAATATGAGACTTTTCCTCTCATTTTTACCTTACACTCTCAAATACTTTTGTCGAAACTCTGCCTCAAAGATATTTGCAAGCAAGAACTTAAGAATGCTCAAACCCTTCAACCTTTTCTTCTAAGTCTCAAAGGTTGATATCTTTTCTTTCTTATTTCATCTGTTCTTCTTCTTTTATGAAACTATTGTTTGGTTACTTAAGAACTTGTTCTCTTAAACTACCAACATAAAGATTATTAACACATTCTCTTACTTGGTTATAATCTAAGGTTTCAATACACTTATTCTTCTTTAAAACCCCTAATATTTTCTTTGTGGATTTTTCAAAATAAGTTTTATTGTTTCAAAACTTAATAGCTCACATTCTTATTTTGGATTACTAACAAATCTGTTATTTCTTATGTCTTGCTTATAACAGAAAATGTATGCCAAGAACGTGAACTTTTCGATCGACGAAGTGTCCTTCAAGCCAAACAATCATGTGGCTTTGTTGGACATCCCGGCGAGCAAGTCCTATTATGAGGAAGCTGCTACTTTCCTCAGGAGCTCCCCTATCTCCTACGCTCTCACCTATTAACCTATCATGGTGAAGGAAGTCCTTCAACAGTTCTGGCTCTGTTGGTCCCTTGAGGGTCTACAAGATAAGTAAAATAGTTTGTAGAAGGGGGGGATGAATACAAACATAATATTTTCAAATTTAAAATGTATATTGATAGAGAAAATCAATACAAATTTTACAAGACTGTTTGCGGAAAGATAAGGTAAGAAAACCTATCTAAACAATCTTTGGTTACACACGGATTCTTAGCAAATGAGAAAAGAAATGCTGTAAAGAAAAGTTCTTTTACTTCAGCTCTAGAATGCTCAAAGTAAGAATTAGGTTTAGAGAGTGAGTTGCGCGCACTCTGCATGGAGAATAAACACTTCTATTTATACCCAATGCATTAAATGTTCATTTAATGTAATATGGTAGGGTAAGAGTGCGTGTCAAACCTTGAGAGGAAGACTTGTCATTTGCTACAGTGAATAGTACAAAAAGGACTATTCATGAGCAAACATCCTTACCTAAAGTTGGTGGGCAATAGAGTCGACTAGTCGGTTTCGTACCGTACTAACTATTATAAAGGGTATGGTTTTGTCCTTTGTGTGTATATGGACAAGACAACAACAATCGTACTTGGCAAGTTTCCTTTGATCGCTGAATGCTGGAATAACCTAGAGGTCTTTTCAGCATTCGCTGAGGCTTGAGCAATCTTCACATATGTGTAGACATGCTTGTAATCACTGAGTACCGCTTTAGATCACGTACTCGCCAGTCTTTAATCTTCAGTTTTAGTTTTCGACATTAGCTGAAGGTTCTTTGGTGTGAGTGTTGTCTTCTTGAAGTATCGTTGTCACTGATTGAATTACAATACAAGTTCTTCAGCGATCACTGAACAGGCTCAGTGAAGATCGTTGGAACTGAAAAGACAAAAACATAAAATACTTCATGTAAATGAAAAGAGATTATCATCAAATCACTGAGAGAGAGGATCAACAGGCTCATTGCTGAAGTTGTTCAAGACACTGACAAGACTGGTCAACAGGTGGAGAAAATCTCCTTCACCTTCAACAGAATGACTGTCAGTGTTGGAGTTACAACGGTAAGGCACACCCTCCGTTTCCCAAAGGGTCCCTACGTCAGTGATCCTTCCACTGATATCATCATTTCTTGCCTGGATGATATTGGCTACGTCTGGCCAACGAAGAAGGAATCCAACGATCTCCTCAAGTCGCTTTCAAAGATTGAGAAGAACCGCATGTCTACGGTTTGGCAGTACTTGTTTTCCCATTTCATCCAATGTATGGGAGGCAAGAATGGTGTCCAAGATCAAGCCTCCAGAGTTGCGTTGAACATTGGCGTATCTGTCATTCGCCAGCACCCAATCAAGTTTGCTGCTATGATCTTTGAAGATCTGGTGCTAAAGCTGAACAAACGCTAGAGGGAGAAGGTAGTACCCTACAACAGGTTCTTATCCATGGTGTTTGCCAAGATCTTTGGCAACAAGTACTCCATTGAAGGAAACTTTCCCATCTGCAAGCTTGGATCCAAAATCTTGGATCATAAGCTGAGGAATGAAGACATTGCACTCTCTGCAATTGTGCCTGCATTTTCTTCTTCTTCTCCAACTGGGACTGTATTTCCTTCTTCCCTTGCTCCGATGGTCAAGAATAAGGAAAACCCTCCAAAGTCTATCTCAACCACCACCTCCCTTTCTTCCAAAAGAACCTCCTCTAAAACCACTCTTGGTTCTCCATCAAGGGCCAAGAAAGCCAAAAAGGGGATACCCACGCCTCTGGATGTTACCTCTCAAAAGGTTTCATCTGTTGAAACTAGCTTTAACCCCGAGGCACCTTCAGCTTTATCTCTTCCAATCTCTTCAGTGATTTCTGCAATCACTGTCGTACCTGTGGCTCCGATCCCAACCGCCTCAGTGACCCAAATCACTAAATGTGTGAATATCATCATAGCCACTGCTGAACACCCACGTCCTATAGTCTTAACCATCTTCTTTTCTCCTCCTTCTTTGGTCTTGACACGTGCTCATGAGTCATCAGTAATTGTCCTCCCTGATGATTAAGCACCCACCACGGGACCTGAGGTTGCTCCTTTCGAAACACCTCAGTTAAAGGACGCCTATCCTCTAGAAAACAACTTGGAGAGAACCAACATCAATCCTTCAGATGGTGCTGATGAACCCTCATGTAATCCTCCATCCAACCCTTTCATTTCTTCTAACCCCGAGCTATCTTATGCTCAAACATTTTCTTTTTCAGGTCCTTGCGACGAAGGAACGCCATCCATGGAAGAAGAATACAACATGGCTGATGACGTGAAGTTGATATTCCCCACCGTGGAGACTGTCTTTGTAAAAATGGACGAACTCCATAAAGGCATGCCTCTCAGGGATGAAGTTTTTGTTGATCTCTCAGCTGTCAAAGCTGAAGTTCAAGATCAAACAACAGCTTTCTACGGTGCAAGCAACTGTACGCACCAACACTGAGGCCATCTCTGCTCTAACCGGATTCTTAAGCTTCTAGTCTTCTAACTCCTATTCCCACACACAATTATTCGTTCCAAAATCATAGATTTTTTAGAAAAAAAAGCATCAAGGAGCAATGGAGGGCTGGAGTCTTGGGTGTTTGGGATTGCTTATTTGGGATTGCTTATTTGAAACAACTTATGTTTTTCTATAAAAGTCCTTATCAACTTATTATAAGTTAGAATAGTTTAACTTCTACAAAAACTTTTTATTACCAGTTTGACGTTTATCCAAACACTCAAATTTACTTATTATTAATGCGACATCGCCCGAGTAAAATATATAAGTGTTGAAAGAATGAGGCGTAAGGACAACGATCAATATGAGGAAAAAGAACCTAGTTCACCAAGTAGTGCAAATTTCTCCCTTTTTAAAATGGCTCCGGTGGCTATATTTTATGTTAAGCGTCGTCAACTTGGGCGTTGTTTTATAAGCAATCCTAACACCCCCTTGAAGTTTTTAAGACCAACAACCCTGCTCTTCAACTTGAAGCAGTGAAGCTTCTACCTATCGCATCTCTCGCCTCTCGACTCTCACTCTGTCTCTCTCGACTCACACCCAGCACCCTCTTCGGCTCCCCTCTCTTCTTCGGCTCCCCTCTCTTCTTCGGCTAGACACTCTCTCAATATCTCAGGCTCTCAATCTCTCATTCAGGTTTTGTCCCAAAACCTAACTTAAATTCAATTTTTTTCCCTAAATTGCCATTTGCCCTAAATTGATTAGTTATAGTGTTATCAATTATGTTTACATGATTTTTCAATGATTTGTTTGTTTTGAGTTTTTACATTTTAGTAATTGAGTTTTGAGCATCAACCTATATTTTTGCCTTTATTTGTTAGTTTGATGTTAATTTTCGTAGCTTATTTTAATTTTCTCAACCTTAGTTGTTGTCTTGCGATGTTAGTTTTTTTAATCAATCGAGGGTTCTTGGTGTTTGTTTCCTATTATAAGAATATTTGGGCAATATGGTTAGTTTAACGCAATGCTTATGTGTTGATTTGCTTCTTTATAAACTGAGTTTCCTTTATTAGGAACATAAAAAATGACAGATAGGCTACTGTTCTTGCATTATTTCAGATTTTATTCACTGAAGTTATTGGCAAATTTTAGTTTTCTTTTACCCATATGATGTAATCGCTGAGAGCAGTTTCATCCAGCAGAAAAGTATTTATTTTCAAAATCGTACAGTAGAGGCTTTTTTTAGCGAAGAAAGTAAATTCATGGATGGATTTAGGGAAAGAGTCTTAGTTCTCTATCCCAATAATTGTTCACAACTTATTGATTATGATATTATAACAAAAGGAGACATGCTAATCACGGAAAATGTTAAAATCAACATTGTAGGCAGGCAGTATATAAATTTGGTGTACCTTCAAAAAGTGACTGTTTGAACAGTTCCTCACACTTATGTGATTTAATCAAAGAATATCAGTCTAGAAGGATGAACTCCTTCCTCTTTCAGTTGTTTGTTTGATTATGATGAATTTATGACGATAAAGAAAAGATTCTTGGTTATGCTCAAGAATAATTGGTAAGCATTTCTTAGCAAATATTTTGTCTCCTTTTCAAGTGTTGCCAATAGATCAGTAACAGATGAGATTTCTTTTTATATAATTCTTGGACATTTCAATTATTGTGTTCGTGACCTCTCTACATTCTATGCCAAACCAACATGGGAAATCCTGCAAGTATATCTTTCTTAGGTGCCTAACAATCGGTCTGGATCTATTGGTTACCCTCCAAAAGTGACATCACTCTCCAAATGCATAACTAATGTTGGTTTCTTAGTTCCACAAAGCATCTCTATGACAAAATCAGATTGTTATTTGAATGTCATTACCATGTTCACAATTTACACGTATGTTCCAAGATACAATATTTTTCATTTCATCAACATTTTATTGTTTTGTTTGCCATTTTAAGAAAATCAATATCTTTTTATTTATTTATTTTATTTATCTATGCTTGGTTGTTCCCTAATACTGGATCCTGGCTCCTCCCCTGGGGACCAGGTGGGACTTTTCGGCTGGATATGACTATCTGACAAAAAGTTGAATCTGCAAATTTACTGAACCATTTTATGCAATTATTAGCTAATGGATGTTTCTTGATAAACTTCGAAAAAAGCCATTTCTTGAAGTATTCACCAAGATTGGCTATTTTTGTGAATTTCTTTTAATTGGTTTGAAAATATTGATAATCGTGGTGGATGGAGTTGGAATAGTGGAACAAGCTTTCAAAAACCCTAACCCCTTTCCGCCTACAACAGTTTGATACTAACCTTTTTTTTATTATCAGGGAATTGTTTCTCTTGTCGGTGGAGACAATGAGTTCTCCGGTATACAGTGGCAAAGGAGAAGAAGTTGGCACCAACAACGATCCAAACAGTGCATTTTTTGATGTCTATGGCCCACAGGTTCTTCATATAATCTTGAGTTTTTGTTTGTTACTTTTTTGAACTGACAGATGCTATTCAGCTTGTATGAATCCATATGTCCAAAAAGGACCGACTTAAAATGACTTGTAACTGAATTCGAGATTTCTAATAAATTTTTTTAGTGAGCAAGCGCTGATACTACATCAAATTGTGGATTTCGTTTAATGAAAAAACTTTAAGATGCTAGAAGTCATCTATTTAAGTTTTGAAGTTGAAAAGTACTATGATTGAATTTTCGTTATCAAAATTGAACTTGGGAAGGAGGGAATTGATTTCTTCATCTTCAAGGAAAGAGGTCTAAAGAGGAGCGGAGATAACTGACTGAATAATTGATGAAATATTTTTTGAATGTTCACATTGGCACGTTTTGGTTCTGGTGGATTATAATTTCTAGTCTGCATGTAAAGCAGGCGAAAGCAGGTGTGGAGTTTAAGACCCCAGAAGCGAATTCAACTCTGAACTTGGAAGTGGGTATCAAGTCACATAAAGCTTTTTATAGAAGTTCCATTTCTAGTTGTTAAAATTTGATAATTATAGATCAGTTCTTTTTTGCAAATATGACAGGATATTCAGGGGCTTGTCACTTGGGTGCTTGCTGAGGGATTCATGCCATCATGGGTTTTCATTAAGGTTGTATATAAATGTGTATGCTTTGGATGATCATATATGAGTACTAAACACCACTGAAGGCCTCATGGGGGGATTTCCACCCTCCACCACCAGTCCTCTTTTCTTCACCAAACTTCCGGCAATGCAAAAAGCCTAATCATGAAGAAAATGATATATCATCACCACGTTTAGAACTGGTTCTGCACACTCACTTAAGGGCTGTTTGATTTTTTATCCATTAAGTTCTTTATCTATGAAGTTGGCTGTAAGCATTAATCTATCTGGATGAATTAAGATAGATTGTTGTCCTGAATAAATAGTTTAAGTAACAAAAATTACCATTTTAACCTTATGCCTACATAAGTTTTGAATAAAAATAAGTTGTTTGATAAACATTTTGAATGACAAAAAACTAAAATAATATGAATTATTTAAAATAACATAAATAATTTGAATTCAACTGTTTCATAACACAAAATTTAATAACTGAAAATATATATTTAAAAAAGTATTATTGTTTGATACCATTTTTAATTTATGCATGTTGGTAAACTACTTATTTTGTAATGAAATGTGTGATTTATTTTGGAAAAATTCTAACTTAATGCATTAAGATGGATGGGCTAACTTAACATGTTAAGTCAATCTCTTAGTATTAAGTTAAAATCAAACATGTTAATATAACTTAACCAATTAAGCTAACCACCCATTGAGCTTATTAAGTTGAAAACAAACACCCCCTTAGATTGGATTTAATGGAGTTTAAAAAAAAACCGAACTTAAATGTAGAGAACACTTGCACCTTGGCTATTAAGAGTGAATGCCTCTCCTTATGGCTTTGCCTTTAAAGATTGCAAATACTAGCTTTAAGTTGGCGTTGTAAAAGGATAGAAGAAAAAAAGTGTCTTTTTTGCACATTTACACAATGAGCATTCTTCCGGGTAAGTGTCAACATTTGCAATGCCTATGAAGGATATGCATCCTCTTTTCAAGTGTGACATTATGGTGCATTTTTTTTTTAGTAGAGTTTGTATCACTTTGTGTTTGGGTTGAAATGGATGGCTAGACATATTGAGAGACTGGGAAATGAGGTTTTACTCCAAGGATTTAGCTAGGCAATGCACTTGCTTAGATAGGAAGTGGGATGGTCGTCCATTGTTTGTATTGTTGATGTGAAAAATGTATTTCTTAACTAAGTTTCTTTAAACTATTTCGCTAGAAACTTTGAAGTTGGATGTATTAACAAACATTTAGATTCAATAATCTAAAAGGAAGGACGAGAGGAATGAGGACAAGAACTCAGAAGAATAGACAATAAAGTGTGTATATCTTTCTATTCCTTGTCTATCGTGTTAAGGGTGGTAGATTTTCGCACTTCCAATTTGATCTTTTTACGACTTGCTTTGTTTTTTTCCATCTCTTGTGTTACCTTCTCTTTTGCTGTCATGAAGGAAAGGAAAACATAGAGGATTAGAAAAAATTAAAGATATGGTTTGACCACTAACTGTATGGAACTCACCGGTCTAAGGACTGATTGGTGCAACATTGCATATATGTTGTGCTGATGTAATGGGTGCAACCCTGACCTTGTCTTCTACAACACACGAAGATTTGGTTCTCATGTTCCTTTTGCTTCTAAAAATGGGGTTTTAGCGTTTCAAGATATTGATTCACTCTAATACAAATGTTAGAGAGTGGATGTTAGATACATAGGAATTTCAACCTTTTGCATATGATGCATAAAACAAGAGGGAGAAGGGAGAAACCAATGACAAGTGAATCGGTCAATCCATTATACCAAAGTTCGTTTAGTAAACATGACTAGAAAATCCAGCTGAATACGTGTTCACTGGTACAATAGGAAAAGTTACATCAAAGTGCTACTACTAGAATTTTTCTGACCAATATACTTGATTTTTGCAAATCTAAGTAGGTGATCACCTTTTTTATGTTGACGGTGTATATAGCTCCTTGTGTGCTTTATTAATGGTTTATTATTGCTCTTATAGCTCAGTTCATTTGGTACTCTCTTTTGAAAAGTTCAAACTAATGCCATCTAATGACACTGCTAGTATGAAATTTAAATTGGTAAAAAACTTCTATAATCATTCTTGGGAATTGGGATTGCTTTGTAAGTCTACGTCAAGTGGTATAAGGATCGATTTGTGTTGATACAATGCGATAGGGGTGAATATGGTACCATACCATGTTTTTTTATTATATACCATGTACCAATCAATTATAATTGGTACACAAAATTTTATACCATGTACCAACCAACTATACTTAGTACCAACTAAATTGGTACCAACTTTTTTACTAACTATACATGTTGGTACGGTATTGTACCAACATCACAAAAGTTGAAGTTAGAAATTTATTTGAATTGACATTTTTACTAACTAGATATAGATGCACTAAAATAATCGAGCATTCACATAACATGTTGATATTTGTTGTACCACTTATCCCTACCTATACAAGCATTCAAATAATTTTCATATAATACAAGCATTCACTAATAGTCTACCACAAGCGGCAATTTAGGAGTTTTGATGGACTGTTGAGGTATGGACAAGTTACTAAGATTGTTAGGGTTAGGCGAATGAATTTAATTTAATTCTATATACCCATCCATATTCTAATTTAGCAAAAATTAGAACAAGATGATTTAAAATTCAAAATCCAAATATGTTGTGTTACTAATTAAACTTTAATTAATAAATAAGTCGGTATGTTACGGTATTACTGTGGTACACAACTTCTAATACCACGTACCAACCAAATTTAGATTGATGGTACGGTACTACCAACCAATTAGATTGGTACCAATTCAATTGAATTGGTACTGTTGGTTTGAGAATTGGTTGGTTTGTCTTGGTACAAAATTGACACTCCTACAATGCAATGTCATACTCTTAAGTCATTCATGTTTGTTGTTATTTTAAGAGAGAATGTACTTTCAATTATGGAGATACTGAATAATATTCCTTTGATTTGTAGAACAAGCCCCTGATTCCAAAAGTGGCCATGCTTTATGTTCCAGGCCTTGATGCAGCAATCTATCTGTCTCAATCTAAAGTACTACACAGTTTAAAAGAATGTTGTGGGATCCCAAGGGCAGTTCTAGCACCTAGGTTGGACAACATCAGACCTCTTTTTTGAATATAACTATTGGGAGTTTCTGTTCTCGTAGCAATCATGTTCTGTTTTTTTCTCCTGTGCTAGCTGTGTATCAGATGGAATGCAGATAATAGATGCACTTCTTACATGCAAACTTAAAAGGAAAAGGGAAGCTGGTACAGTTACTAATAAATGTGGACCTTGGTCTCAACCAGGTGAGGAATCTGATAAGTTCATTCTAATTATCAACGTGCTTGCCTTCTTAGTATATGAAGTCTTCTGAGCATGAAGAACATGCAAGATGAAATATGTACTAAATTACTTTGTTTGATTAACGTGTGGTCGTTTTTTAAATGGATTACATAGTATTTACATGGTGCAAATTAATTGTTACACTTCCTATAAATGAACCACAACACTATGACCAGACTGTTGCTATATGCATCAAAATGTTGTTGAACCTATGATATTGATGCATGGTGGAAATTATGTTGACCATTAATTATTGATAAGGACACATCAGTGGTGCTACATGGTTGGAACTCAGAAGTAACATCATATCTGTTGGTTTCACCATACTTCATCCATGAAGCCATGAAGTAATTAGGACTTTGCTGTTTGCTCAGAGCATATGTAGTCAGAATCTCTTATCGTGTTGTGTTGTAAATCACTGTCACTATCAATGCGTTATCCATACGGATCTAAATTCTTCCCTTCACCAAGCATATGAAACTGTCATATTGGGGATGGATTAAGTAGAGTTGAATGAGGTACCTTGTCTTGAGTTTAATAAGAATAGTACTATTTGAATAAAATCTATTTGATCGGCAAAAAACTGATAATTTTTGTGAGACACTAATGTGATAGGTATTGATTGAAATTGAAAAAATGCTGATAATAGTTAGCCGCATATGGAATTCGAGAGCGAGAGCCTTCCCACTATCGAGAATTCTCACAAAATCGGTACCTCCTCCAATATTTTTTCTACCCTAAATAGACTAATATTTTCTCTTTGACTATAGTGCCTCTACTTCTCTAATTAATTCCCCTATTTGGCCCTTATAGAATAATACTAAAAAATTGGTGGCATATCAATGCTTCCCCCAAACCCTAATGAGTCATGTTGTCCTCAAGGTGAAAGTTTGGGAAATGTTGACGCATTGCAACGTAAGATTCCCAGGAGTCTTCAAATGATGGCAACCACTTCCAACCACCTTATTATGTTGAAATCAAATGCCTTTTAATATATCAGGTTCTTGGAATAGTGTCTGGCTCTTCTGCAGCCCTTGGTGAAGATGTGTGTGGACTTGATTATCTCCAATTGGCAACCTTAAGTTGAGACACATGGAACACCAGCTGGATCTTTGTGCTTTCTGGTACTTGGAGTCTGTAAGCCACCTTTCTCACCTTCTCTATCACTTGGAAAGGTTCGTAATAGCGTGGGACTAACTTCATAATACGTTTAGAGGCGAGTGACATTTGAAGATACTGTCTCGTTTCATATGAACCCACTCGCCCACCTGAAAGTCCACCACTAGTTGATGTTTATCAGCTGAGGCCTTCATCTTCTGTTGAGCTTTTAACAATTGTGACCACATTTCCTTCAACAGCTTGTCATGGGACGATAGCATTAGCTCTACATTTGCATTGGAAGCTTCATTCACGGTGTAGGTGACTAGTCTGGGGATCTCTCCCATAAAGAATCATGAATGTGGTGGTATTAGAAGGTGTATGGAAGGATGTGTTGTACCAATATTCAACCAAGGATAGCAGCGTTTCTATCGTTTTGGCCTCTCACTAAGCAATGCAAGTATGATTGGAGGAACCTATTAACGACTTAAGTTTGGCCATTCATTTGTGGATGGTATTGTGTGTTGAATTTGAGTTTGGTCCTTTGTAAACGAAAAGATCCTTCCACAAAGTATCGAGAAAAATCTTCTCATGGACATACACGATGGTTTTAGGCATCCATAAAATCTAACCTCCTCCTTCGTGAATTCAAAACCTACCTGTGTCGTAAGGGTGGCTGTGATCGTATTTGCTAAGCCTGTCGATGATAACCAACAGAGTTCACACCCTCTGGCGTTAGCAACCCCTCCACAAAATCCATAGAGAAATCATCCCATACTCTTCCTGGAGGAGTGTTTTGCTTTGGACTCTATGAAAATAAACCTAACAGACAATGATAGATGAATAGTGATGCAAGTATACATCTCTAACTATACTGTTATAGCAGTCAAAATACAAAATAGCGGTCAGGACTGAGATTTTGAAATGGTGGTTATTGTGGTGGTATAGCTGTCAAAAAATAGCAGTTCATATAATAACTATTATGTATGCATACATAACTTAACATGCTATTTGCATTAATTAAAAATATAATTTCAACATCAAAATATCAACTTGAACAAGTTCCACACAAACAAAATAGGAAAAGTGTTCATAAACGAGCTAATCACAAGCAATAGGTTCAACATCCGAGTCAACATCATCTAATAGTTTTGGGTATCAACTTTCATTTAGACCCAAGCGAAGGGGTTAGCATATCATTGTTGGTTTGCTTGCATATTGAAAGAAGAAAGCATTAAATGAAAGCGACTAAATAAAAAAGTAGATTATAAGTAAAAGAAAGGTTGAAGGAATCGATCTAGTAACCGAGAGCAAGAAACAATAGTTTCCACAACTTCCAATATATTCAAGAGACTTTAGCTAACGCGTTAAGTATCTCGCCTGGGGAGTACGTTTGCTAGAATGAAACTCAAAGGTCCTAGGGAGTTATACATTTGTGTCTTTGATAAGACCATTCACTATTTCTTGAAGCTAGATCTCGGAATTGTCTTTCATTCCAAGGCCTAACTTGTATCAATGCGCTTCATATTCGCTCGGGTACCAAAGACTTGAAAACAAGAGAAAAATTGTTTAGAAACTTGTAGCCAAAGCATCTAAGAGACTAGAAAGCATAAACTTCAAAAGTAACTAAGCTTGGAACATGAAAGTAACAACCAAAAGCATTCAGAAGTATCAAAGCATACTAAAAACCCAGCCAAAGCTTCTTGTAAATACACTAGGAAGGTGGCTTAAAAAAGGGGTTAGAGGGGTTATTACCTAATGGACAATAGAAGAGTACTTTGTCTACTTTTGACTATGTACACCTAATAGTACTATTAATCTTGACTAAAAACATTTCTTCAGAGATCTTTTGATTTCCGGCTGTTAATGACATGGAAATAAAGTAATCTACAAAAGTCTTATATCTTCAAACATCTCTTTTGAAATCGATCAGCTTGTTGCATATGCAGCATCGTTTCTTTGATTCTGCTGTAGCATCTCCATCCTACAGATTAGGGTCTACAACACCACAAAACAGCCCAGAAAACATTGACTAGTCCACTAGGCCTACTTAACTATGTCAGTCTAATAAGATGCAAAATAATAAACAAAAGACTCGAGTAATGGGTTTAAAAATAAAAAACAAAGGAAAAACATGGGAAAATGATGCTGTAGCAATGTAAATTGCAACATACATCAAAGAGACAAAGGCTGTAAAAGTCTTGTAGGTGATAAGGCTGAGGTTTTATTTCTTTGACAAACATGACATTCATTTACATACTTTCTGATCATTGCCTTCACTTTTTCTGATCATGATATTCTCGAAGCAACTATGGAATTAACGGGGAGCGCCTTGGTAGCACTATTCGCAGCAAAAAACCTTCTGTTTTGATATTTCAACCTATTCACCCTCCTACAATTTAGACACGATTGCTTGGAATTTTGCATCCTTGTTTATCTCCTATCGTATTGCTTGTATGCATACCGCATGCACTGCCATCATCCTCATAAGATTGGACCATAGTTGATTCTAGACAAGGCATCTACGGACTTCATCGACCATTTCTGACATTCTGGTGCCATTTCTCGTTGTTCCAACAGATATTTAAGGCTTCATTGATTTGCTTTGACGACAAATCTCTTACCTAAAAGGTAATGATTCCACCTCTTAATGGCCAACACCATCACCATCAGTTTTTTTTTTGTACACCGATTGAAGTTGCACAGGGGGGGGGGGGGCAAGGCTTGTCTAAATAATTCTATCGGTCTTTGTTGCTGCATAAGGATTGCCCCTATCCTCGTTCATTAGTTTCGACCATGAACTCGTGCTGAAAGTTGCGCAAAGCCAAGACGGGGATCTTAGTAATTGTCTCCTTTAACTGGTTGAAGGAATTTTCAGCCTCCTTACTCCAAGCAAACCCATCTTTCTTCAATAACTTGGTTAATGGGGTAACAATGATTCTATACACTTTACAAACCTTCGATAATATCCCATCATTCCAAGGAACCCTCATAAATCTTTAACGTTTTTAAGACTCGGTCACTCCAGCTGTCCAGCATAACTTTTATTTCCTGATAATCTGCCTCTGCTCCATTTTTTGAGATTACATGACCTAGATACCTAATCTTTTGTTGACCAAAATTGCATTTCTTTTGATTAGGAACCAATCGGTTGTCTCGTGAAATCTGCAACACCTAGGTTAAGTGGTGCTTGTGTTCCTCCAAACTCTTGTATACCGGAATGTCGTTAAAAAAGATTAGTACATAATGATGAAGCAATGCGGAAGTAATTTCTTCATCATAACCTGAAAGGTCGAAGGGGCATTGTTGAGGTCAAATGGCATTACCAAGAAGTCGTAATGCTCGTCATGTGTCCGGAAGGCTGTCTTGGCTACATCCTCCTCTTTCATCCATATTTGGTGGTGCTCCCACTTTAGATCCAATATTGGAAAAAAATCATGCCCCATGAATTCATCCACTAGCTCATCAACTAAGGGTATGGGAAATTTGTCGGCTATAGTGGCTTGATTAAATCAATGGAAAATTTCCAGCTCCGTTTCTTTAACGAGTAAAACCGGGCTCGAGTAAGGACTATTGTTATTTTGTACTATTTGGGCAGCTAACATCTCCTTCACCAATGTTTCAATCTCTTTTTCCCGCTCATGTAAATATCAATGTGGTCTTATATTAATGGAATGGCGTGGTCATACGTTCAGTTAGGCATTCACAAATTCACTTGGCCTCCTTGGCAGTAGGGAATTTGATCCTTCAAATGCATCCGGGAATGTTGCCGGGACTTCAACAATTTCTGGGTGGATGGGTACCTCCGTAACCTCGTAATCTTCTTGTTGATTGCATTGGTCTTTCGATAACACCTTCTTCCCCA